CAATAACATCCCACACATAGTCCTTTATTAGAGGCAGACATGTCTTCGTCACTTTACTTTCACTTCCTTGGCAGATGTTGGCAAACATGTTTAACATATAGATAGAAAAATACGTCAAGTTTTTTTTTCAAAGTACAACTGACACAACTGAGTAGTATAATAAGAAAAAAAAAGACTTATGTTACATTCAGGACAAGAATACATTAAATAAAAGTCTTTGAAAAAAATACACAATATATATCTTTTTCTGGATTTCAAGAGCAAGGGATTTTGATAATAAGACGAGGGGGAGGGAATTTATTCGAGAAACGACGGGAATATACCAGATCCTAAATTTTAAAGGCCTAAACTGCACCGTTTTCGAGATCATCCATAATTTTCGCTAAACACCTCTTAGGTAATATAGTTGCCATGGGATAGATACTCATAATTTTTTAATTTTCATGATAGGTTAACATCAATTATAAAAACTTTATTAAAAATAAATAAATAACTTACAAGTTACGATCCACTAACGGATAACTATCGGGCAGTGTTTTATTATGATAATAATAATAATAATAGAGTCAAATATTAATAATTTATTCTGGCGGTAAGAATCATTCAATTTTAATTAAAAATTTAACTTTTTTAATTAGTAAAAAATGTCAATAAAATATACGTTTTCGTGCTAATTATTACAATGGTAAATTAAAACTATAATCAAACTAACTAACTAACTATATCACTATTGCTACTGTTCGCAGATTTGACAGATTGTAATAGTTTAGAAATAAAAGCTTTTAAAAAAGTTAAGATAAAGACAATTTTTTGTAACATGGCTTCAACTTGAACATTCTTCAATAAAATAATCAGAAACAGTCTGTGTTGAACCTATAAAACAAAAATTGATTTATTCTCAGCTTTATGAAAATTACAGATCCGTATTTGATATGAAGCCACTCGCATGATTTCAACTAACACGTCGTTTTCATATTCAAATTAACATTTATAGTAATAACTTTTTCATTTTTCAGAAAAAACTAAAAATCTTTGACCCACTTTCATTCTGTACTAGCCGAATAATAGAACAAAAGTAATTTTTGTTGTTTTCTGTGCTCTCCTCTGACAGATAATTTTCCTTGTTTTTCAGCAGACGGGAGCCATGGAAGGAAACCCGACTAGGGATCATGGACTAACTCAACCGCTAATAAGAAGGAGAATGCCCAAGGAGCAATAAGAAGAGAAGCCAAGTTAAATCCAGAGGTCTCCTCGAGCATGGGGCGGGGAGATATCCGATCCCAACTCTTGATTAAGAGCAAAGGAAACCCGAGGAATCAAATTACTGTCATCAAACCACCACCAGTTCGACAAGCATCTCCTTGCGGGGGAGGGAGGAGGTGGAGGGAGAAGGCGAAGAATCAGGCGAATCAAAATCGATAGCTGCCTCTGGCATCGGTTTGTGGCTAAAGTTTAATAAGTTTTTTTATCTAAGGGTCTGGGCAAAGTACCGAGTGTTAAATTCCTCATGAACCGGAATAAAAAGTATTTCTAAAAAAAAAGAAAAATAATTAATAAAAAAAAGCTAAAATATTGTTCAACAAACTAAAACTAAAGTATTAATTTCAGTAGAGGAAGAAGACAAATCTTCTTTAGTACAAAAACGAATTCCAATAGTAATCCAACAGCAATTATTATTCACAATGGATACTTAAAAGAAAATGATATTGCTCTATGACAGATTTTCTTAAGGATTCTCAAAAGGAATCTACCATGCAATGTTGTAAGAATTAGTTCGCAGCTACAAGAATAATTCCTGTCTCTCTTCACCTGTCGAGAGAAAAGCCCTGTTGAAAGCCTGAAACTTAAGCCGAAACGTGAGTACAAAGGAAATAAAATAAATATAATGTATTTTTACTTCGTATTTCCGCTAACGAAAATCCCCAAGTTTAATAAGATAAATTTAAAAATTATAAAAAAAATAGAATAAGTACTAGAGGTCGGTACAATAGTTTGGTCTCAAAATTGATATAATATCATCTTTTGGAAGTAAAGTACTTAAGGTTTTCAATCTGGATCCTACACCCTCTTCTTTCCCATTCCAGACACTGTGCCTTCCTTACAGACTTTGGCCAAAATGTAACTCAAAATGAAGAATAATGGCTTTCTAATCTTTTGCCTTTTTCAACCACAAAATCATGAACTATTAAGTGATGGAAATATAACTCATATCATACTTCATACATCGGAAAATCAAAGAGAGGCACTAAAATATAACTGAGATCCATACTTGACCAGTACCGGAGAACTCTACACTGAAATCTAATCGCGAATCCCGACCATTAAAATTCACCAGTTCCTGATGGACATATTTAACATAAATTGTAAGGTTTATTTTATTTATTATTAACAGAAGAACTCTATACACAGAACCATCCGCGCGGGATGAATTTCCTAGATCCTGGATGCTGATAAAAATCCATTAGAGCAGAGGGAAAAAACAAATGGAAATGGAGGTTATGACTCTTTAGTAAAAAAAAAAAAAACTCAGGCCTGGAACCACTAGATCAAAACTGGTAGCATCGAGTACTTCCTTTTCCAGTGAAAATTGACTGCTGAGGTTGTTACCTAATGTTAGCGTGCATGTTGGATGATCTTATTAAAAAATACAAACCTTCGGGTGGAAATATATCTAATATGAGGTAATAGAGTGTTGAGGTAAGACAACGCAACCCTTAATTTTCACTATTCAACTCTAGTCATGAATCGATAGTCGATATCATCGAAATATCTACGCACTACATTCTATATGAAGCAAGCAAGATGAGTATATATTTTTTTTTTAATGATCGGATTCATACATAATTCCTAGCATTTCCCGAAAACGATAGTTTTAATTCTAACAACTTTAAAATAAAAATATTGTAAGTAGATAACATGGATATTTCGATAGTCATCACTACAAGGATAGCTGTGTCTTACTACACAACTATTAAACTAGAGGGATATTTTTCCATTTTTTTCTTGTTATGTTAACGTTTGTTTTTATATCAATGTATGAATACTATCTAGTTTAGTATTGGTAAGTATCTAACGGCTAAACGCCATAAAAGCATTTACATACTGGTTCAAACCATATGGGTACAATACACAACCGTATGGAGAAAGGGTGATGGAGAAGAAAAAAATAGAATGAAAAGAGAACTTTGTGTGCGTTATACCGATTTAGTAGAAACATCTGTCGTTTTCCTGCTTATCTTTGCTCTACCAACAAGGCTGCTCCAGGCAACCGAAACCCCACAATGAGGCTAAAACCACTCCAGGAGCACCTTTTCACCCGGCTGGGGTCGATAACTCTCCCTTCCCACCTCTGTTTATTGTAATATTATTTATTATTTTTTAACATTTTTTTTTCTTAAAGGATGAGATTTCTTTCTCAAGTAGATATGTTACAAAAACCAAGTTAAAGAGTGCAAAATATCTACACTATAAAATACAGGAGTATAGATACTTTTTCCGGCTCTCGGAAGGGATAGATTTAAATAAACGAAGTATCAAACGAAAGAGAATTTCATGGAGAAATGACGAGTCACAATTTCAAAACCTAAACCTTATCCCGATTACAAGTCATTGGAATGGGAGATTTGAGAACAGATGAGTTCAAAACTCGACAGATCGAGAAGAGATTAATTCTGTTTTAAATATTTTGATGCGGACCATATTTGAAACAACGCGTGGACCAAACCTTATATAATCGATAGTGAATCTTGATGCCATAGTAGCCATGGCTCACAAAAAAAAAAGTTTTATTACTTTTTTATGTCTTCGTTACTTCATTATAAAATCCTATGATTGGGGGGGCATCATTTTTGAGGTTATCTTCTCTGCCTGAGAAAAATAGTCACATCCAATTTTCAAAAAATTCAGGAAAGAAGAAAAACGATTTTTTTCTGCGCATAACTCAAAAAGTATACAATTAATGATGGATTACACCCGTGGTTATTTTAAAAAAATAATAAATTCTCTAGAAAACAGAAATAAAAAAAAATCATCAAAATCTAGTCATTATTAACGAAGATACTACCTATAGAAATCTGTACATATGTATGTACAGATATATATATATATATTTGAGAGAAAAAAAAGTAACTCCTTTATTTCATAATACATTCCATTAACTTATTTATATATTATTTTATCGGCTGTTCACTAGCCCACTAGAAGTTGTTAAATGTATCAATTATGTGAAATAGCCATTCCCTCACCACCGAAATGTTCCATCGAATGTTTTAAATAATATATAAACTACTCCGCGGTACTAATAGTCCGTAGTACTGGCCCCTTTTTATAAAATTATTAACATGGCTTCATCTTCATCGTAACCTACAACTATTTTATTTACGAAAATTCGCGGAATTGAGGCGTTTTCAATCTAGAGGTCGTCAAACTTTGTTTTTTTAATTAGACACTAAAAACTTGTAATTACTCATTTGTTTTCTACTTGAATCGTGAGATAATCTGGGAACAGACTCGAGTAATAAGGTGGCGTTTAAAAATATTGAGGAGTTTGGCTTGACCTACGCTCCAAAATGTCAAAATAACGTGGTTATATAGGTCAAGCGGCCCAATATTTTTTTAGCCCACTTTTTTCTCGATTTTGTAATCAAATTATCTTAAGATCAGGTAAATGGGTAAGTATTTACGAGTTTTAGTAACTAATTAAATAGGCAAAGTTTCTCGACCTCCAGGTTGAAAATACGCTAATTCCAATAGTTTTAGTAAATACAATAGTAGTAGGCTACGATGAGAAGAAGCTATTCACAGAACTTCAGGCGGATGTTAATAATTTGATTTAAAAAAAGGGTCTGAAACCACGGGCTATAATAATCACATGGACAAAAATCTATTCTATAAACTATTATTACTTTAAATGTATCAAGATGGACGGCCTCCGGATTTCCAATATACAAGAGAACTGCTAGAGAAAAGAAAACGAAAGTTGTCACGAACGGAGGAAGTAAGCCGGACGCATTATTAACAATGCTGAAGCAGGTGGCAGAAAAAGTGGAAAACAGTAGGGTGTTAGGAAAGAGGAAAAGGGTTCGGGAAACTGCAATTTCCACGGTGAGCCCCCGTCATAAAAAACTACCAGGTGTCAATCCTGCCGCCGGATCCTATTACATGGAGCGGTTTCACCAAGGGGACATTTTTAGAAGAGTGGAAAGTGGAATGGAGGCATGCATGATGTCGGTCTATGCATCATTCTCCCTCGCATGGCAACATGTCAGTGTTGCGATAGGGCGGGAACCCGTGCAACATGCGACAAACTGCACAGCCCCTGATAAGAGACTTCCACCTTAGTCTACGGTTTAGAAGTGAGACACCTCCCGTAGCGGAGCAGTTCATCATAAAACAAAATATATGTGCACATTTTTCAAATTTCGTTAACAATAAGATGATTTATCATGTTGATAATTCAAGTAGAATGAAACAGTTCAGAACCATTGAGGAGTCGACAATATATTAAAGTAAAACTAAAGCAACATATAAAGATTCTCGGGTACTACTCTTAAATTATCGCACTCATGCAATCGATGCATAAAAATAATGATAATACTCATATCTATCATTATATATGTTACGATAGCTTTTCGCAGTAACGTTCCCTTTTTCGCTTCTTAGGAACGATGAATTTTTTATGAATGGGGTAACCAACGAAAGGGTATTGAATGGAACAGTGACGATTCATAGCAATATCCTCCGAAATTTCAGGAAAAACAGTAATGAATGAAAAGAAACTTTATTTGCGAATAACTTAAAAAGTATAAAATTGTTTCTGGATTAGACTTGATTTTTACTAAACTTCCTATGAAAAAAATTCCCATCGAAAACGAACTATTATTATCCAAGAAACTCTATAATAATGTATTCATGTTTTGATTTGTTATGATTGAAATACAGTGATTTAACTGAGAAAAACATCATCGGCGTTGTGATGTTTGTTTCTTTCGTTTTTTATATTTATAATTTTTTATTATAGGACAATATTTTTCAAACAAATTAATGTTGTTTTCACTGTATTGTAATAGTTATTTGAGGTTTTCTGATAGATTCCATAGGGGTTCTTCTAGTTTTGTATTTAAGGCAGTAACTAATGGGAATAGTAAATAACGCGATATCACATTTTTTTTTCGTTTTATCTGCGTAATCCAGATTCTTTCTCTAATATATATATAAAATTCTATAGCGGCTCGCCATGGAGATTGTAGCTGGCCTATAGCTCTATTTTAGCCAGTTACATATTTGACCTGACATCCGTCCTTCCTCAATTAAACTCGATTGGACCAATCCAAGCTATTTAACCAGCCAGCCCCAGTTCGGGATCGACTGCGTCCTCCACACAACCACAGAGCCAAATAGACCACAATATCTGTTGGAAAATAGGCTTAAATATTGACAATGTTTTTCTTCTAACTTGAAACTTTAAGAAAAGTGAAGAAAACAAGCATCGAGATAGTCTGGAATGATCTGACACGTATTCCCATTTTGAGATTGATCACTCCGTCACACTGATCCAATGGACGCAACACCGAAGACCTGACGGAACCCATCGATAACGCACGTTTCCCGAAGAGGCTAATGGACGAGCTAGGCCTGAGGCGAGTAAACAAATCCCAATTAGATAGAATTACAACCGAGGGGGCTCGAACCAAGACCGATAATTTGTCCAATTAATCCAGGATTTATGGGTACAAAATCGAAACCAGGAGTTATCCTAAGCCTAAGGCTAATTGCCGAATCAATAGGATCCGATGGTCCACAACATTGATACATTGAGTACGCAGTAAATAATTACATTTATTAATAACAAGGAGCGTCATGCTGGATCGGTAGCGAGCGTCAGTAACAATTACAACAGTAAAGTAATGGATGCAAAATCGACCGTGTTTCAAAATAAGAGTGTTGGATAAGGAATTTGGTTTTCAAAATGTAGAAATTTGATGGTAGGTCAACATATAAGTAACATTGAGTATAAGTCAACATATAAGTATTATTGAGATATGGGCACGTTCCTAAACAAGGGGCTAATTCCACCGAAGGAATCTATCAATTGGCTGAATTCAACATAGATGGACAGTGATTTATGCTGAGTTTATAAACGACCTGCTGAACACGAGCGGAAGGTTTTATAACCACTAGATGATTACGAAATGAATGCAAAATAAAATCGGTGTCCTGGAAGTAAGGAATACCATGTTCATTTTCGTATTTGTTTAAGGTAGACAATGTTTCATAACTTTGAGCAATTAAAATTTGTGTCTTAGATACTAAATCTTAGAACTCTTCAGGTAAAAGAACCTGTCACATTTTCGTGTTTTTCGGGGAACCAATATTCCACTACTTTGAGCTATTAAAATTTGTTTCTTAGTAGATAAATCATTTAAGAAAAAATGGAGATGGTGTTCATTACCTTCGGAGCAGATATGTTTTATTTTTCATGCGTTTCGTAACCATCCTGGAGTAATACACATACACACATATATATATATATATATATATATATATATATATATATATATATATATATATATATATATATATATATATATATATATATATGTGAGGAAATATTTAGCTAGTATTCAAATCGTTGAATTTGAAAACAGAAATAAATACAGATAGAAAATAAACTCAACATAAATATGTAAAGTAAATTGAGAAATAATAACACAGAGATTACAGCCAGGGGATCGATTATCCATGGATGTACTCTCAGTATCCAATGTAACCGCTAAGCCAATATTAATTCAATCGATACAAAAAAATACAGGGGTGAATCCCATTTACGGATACATCGTTAAGGAACGAATTGATGGATTTCTTGATATCCATCCATGGACACGGTACTATATTCAGGTACTTATCATATGTAAAAACACCTCAATAATTCATCGATTTTAATTAGTGGTATTCTGCCCGAAAATAAACTGCTGCATTTCATGGATGTCATCGCCGGCTTTTTATTTTCGATTTAGAATCTCTTGCTTTATTATATATATATATATATATATATATATATATATTTTTTTTTTTTTTTTTTTTTTTTTTTCTTTCTAGAACAGCTTATATTTCCAGCGGCTTTTTTAGGGCTTTTCACCTGAAGTTGAAGTTTGAGAAGTGGAGGTCCCAACTTTTTTATCTGATACCACAAAAATGAAAGGAAAATACGACCTTTGTAACGGAACTCTACTGCAATAGGCTTTTTGTTGGTTTATAGAAGTTTGAAGTTCATCTTAACTCAACATACTACTCATCTGAAGAACATACATAATATTTTGCACCAAGGTATTATATATCTCCAAAATATTGTTAATAACATTTATTAAAAAGATACAGAAGAGAAGCTGCGTTCGACAATAAGATTATTCGTTCTGCGTTCTACTTTATTGCTAGCGAAGTGTTTTGGTACTTGAGAATGCTAGGATTAGCACAAGTAAACTAATACCTTGACGCGTCATCAAAAACAAAAGAAATATTATACAGTAAGCATTAACCATTTATCTCAACAATAACAAAATCTGAATAAAAACACTGGCTTTTTCAATGGCGACAGTCTTCCTATGTATTAATACTGACAATACAGATAAAATATGATGAGAAAAAAAAAATGTTTTTGTGCTTGATATATATGTGTATTGAAGATATATATGTGTATAAATAGTTTTAACCAAACGCTAGGTTAGAGTTATACTGCAAAATATACAGCATATTTTCCGGATTCTTTTTTTCTATTTAAAAGTATGTGGCTACATATGAAGTTACATTTAAGATAGCATGTTACACAATGTTGTACCACTATAATCTTCCAATATAAATAAAATAAAATAATATATATATATATATATATATATATATATATATATATATATATATATATATATATATATATACAAACCGAGAACAATCATCGACCTCACATTATTTATCGCATGTTTGTTGTAAATAGCTTGTTCGTTTAGAAGGAGGGTATCGGTCAAGATCTAGAAAGACAACTATATCTGAGGAAATCCCTAACTGAAAAATGAGGGTAGAAGAAAGAATCCAAAGCATCGGGTTTAGGGGGCATTCCCATGGAAAGAGACGTTCCCTTCTAGATCACCAGATTCCAGAGAGCCCTCCCACAAGGACAGGACCACTCCCAAAAATGAGGGAACAAGAGGGATATATAAAGGCCAACCAACCAACAAATAAATATTAATATATATATTTTTTAAATTATTATTTAAAATAATAAGATAATTTTATTTCTGACACTGAAATAACCAGTTACAGAATAGAAATTTACTAATGAATTATTGAAATAAAAACTATCATAACTGTGAAGTAATTCATACTTCATAAGAACATATTTCATTTTAATATATATATATATATATATATATATATATATATATATATATATATATATATATATAAACTTATATATATATATAAACTTGTACCACTACAACCCATGAAGGATCTTAGGTTCAGTACTGTTTAGGGTAAGCACTGTTTCTAGGTCAACGGTTGTGCAAGGAGGTGATGTGACCGCCAGGTTTGCCTCCTTAATTAATTATTTAAATATGGGTACCCACTTTATAGAGGCTGGGTGTGCCCCAAGAGGGTCTCCCGACCCTGGGTCGCCCCACGGCCAATGAAACAGATAAATAAATTTTCTATCATGAGCCGGGGTTCGAATCTGGAAGCTTTAGCATTGCAAGCTCAGTACCCTACCACTGAGCTACCCCACTACCTTATATATATATATATATATATATATATATATATATATATATATATATATTTATATTACAATGTATAGTAATATTACATGATATTCCAGTTCACTTTGTTATTTACTAATTGAACTATTTTCTAATTGAACTATAAGTTGTATATATATGTAAATAAATTTGATTGATTGATATTTTCATCTCTTTTTGAGTTTTTGATTATTTTTACTGATTCATTGCTAACATTAAAAGCAAAATGTTCAAATAGAATTCTAAACTATCTGCCTCGATAAACCCAAAACAATGAACTAAAGTTACCATAATATAGTAGGACAACGTGTTGCTTATAAATACAAGAGAAGATCTCAATACAATTTTTTTTTTCCTTTAATCATAAGATATCCTTATCAATTTTCCAACTAATTGTATATTCAAACCAACAGCGGAGGCACACCTTTTATGACTCGACAAAAAATTCGTTTCTCTCTTTTAATTCATGTAGAACATTGTTAACAGCTACCCTGTAATTTAGCGGCCACACCCTCCTTTGAAAACAATTTCAAGCAACTCCCCCTCCCTCCTCCC